GCAAGGATTCCAGCAATGCAAATTATAATCTCCTAACTTTAGTCTGAGATATTATATAAGATAAAAACTGTAAGCCTAAAAGCCTGGCTGGGGGGGGGGGGGACGACGGCCCGCCACCCAGCGAGGGGTTGGGGGGTTGAGGTGATAAGTTTGAGGCGAAGGTCTCTGTGTGTTTATTTAACAGTCCTACTAAGCTTCTCTCATTTTAAAATGCCAGTGATATGACCTAGGAGAATATAATTAACATAGCTGGGATTCTTGTAAGATACTGATTTATTTGAATATAAACATGTTGTAATTCGCACTAGACATAACAATTTTAGTACCGTAATCAAATTAGTACATGTGCACTCCAGCTTTGCACTAAGGTCATTTATTTCTTTTACGTTTCTTTTAGTATGGTGTGTGCATGTAAATGGATGAAAATAAATGAAGAAATTTATGTAAATCTACCCAAAAATACAGTTGAAAAACTTTTTATAAAATGTACTACAGTATTGTACACTAATGTACTACATTTTTTATATCTTGAGCAAAATATATGATGCTTATATTCAAATTAATCTCTGTCTTGCAAGGATTTCAGCAATGCAAATTATATTATCCTAACTTTAGTCTGAGATATTATATAAAATAAACATAAAGAAATCACCAGGGTGGGAAGAGGGGGCGGGAGGTGAGGTGACAGAATGTCTGGCGTTTGTTTGTTTATTTATTTGAGATAAGATTTGACAGTTGGCGCTGAAGGCCTGCGTGTTTATTTATCATTACTTAAGAGTGACTAAGCTCTTCTCATAATTTGCCACCCAAACGACCTGGGTGAATATAACTTACATTGGAGGGATTCTTGTAAGATAGTAATTTATTTGAATACCTGTATAAACAAGCTATATTTGCAATAGACATAACAATTTTAGTACCGTAATCATTTAGTACATGTACAATACAGGTTTGCACTTAGTTCCATTGTTACTGTACAATATTGATTAAATTCACTAGATAACGTAGCCTGGCCGCGCAATCTATAAGAATACGCAATGCATACGTGACTGTGCCCGCTCTAGGTCCATTTAGGTTTGCTAGGTCCCATTATTTGATTTTTTTTTTTTTTTTCAATTTAAATTTTAATTGTTTATTCCTTGATAGAGGAAGCGGGATCCTAGTGCTGTCACTTGGTACCCCTGTACCTTAACACCAGAAGCAACTGGCCAGTGTCACAAGTATATACAGTACAGTACAGTCATCCCTTGGTTATCGCGCCGAATTGGGACCCCGCCGATAACGAAAGTACAGAACCTATGGGATTTATTCTAATTGGTTCAGGCACCCAAGACCCAACCCCAATTTTCCTATTTTGTGACCATTTAGACCCACTAAATATATTTATAATGTTATGGTAAATATCATAAACACACATAGGCATGGCTAGGTTTATTACAAAGTGATGAAAAGGGTATGCTTAATACTGTAGTCCACAAAACATGTAGCTATGCTTTTTTTATTTGGTCCCCCGTCATACGAGTCCGTTTTCTCCCACATCAGGACGCCTTAGTCCTCCGTTTTCTCTCTTAATCTTAGAGTGCATCAGAAACTGTACTATTTTTAGTAATGCCACAGAATTTGAAATTGCAACCCCAATTGCAACTGGGGTTGCAATTGTTGAGGCAACTAGATATGTCTGATTACACCAAATGTGTTATTGTCAATTTGTAGGTGAAAGATTTTATCCTCAATAGATATAGGTTAACATTTCACCTGTAGGCAAATGCTTAAAAAAAGCCTAAGTAAGGAAGCATATTCCTTTAACACATATTATCTGACCAGTTGGGGGAGGATCATCGTGTCTCTGTCAGGGGGTCGTGGAGTGGTGGTCCAGCAGGCGTCACTTTTGGGGGGGGAGGGGGGACACAGACGTATATACGATCGGACGTTGTTCGGTCGGACGTTAACCGGCGCATGACTGTACTGTATCGGAGTCAGCCAAACCATTGCTCACTCTACCAAGTATGGAGAGAGAGAGAGTGCCTCATCAACATAGCAGTCTAACCACAGCCACAGAGACTTTGTCGGCTGTTGGAGGAGTTACGTCCAAGTTCCACAAATTTTGAATTTTTCAGTCCATAACAGTGAGAAGGTGTTACTTACAGCTAAATCACTTGTTCCTGTCCAATTGGATAATGTATCTTGTCATTAAATGTGTCAAGCTCTCTTTCAAAAGGCAGGCATTTAGGAAGGGTGTTTGGACCTCATAGCTCACTATTTTCCTTCTTTTCACTCCTAAAATGGGACTTTATACTTTAATCCTTCGTCTTTTTTCTTAATGAAAGGTGCACCTTAAGACTTAAAGGGTTGATTTGTGTGAAATTACAGTACTGATAATAATGAGCTATTCTTCTAGGAATGTTGCCTAAATCAATCCTTGAATCTAAAATCTTGTTAAGTTTTGTCAACAAGTGTTACCAGAAGACAATGATGTCAGGGTTGCATCAAAATTTATTTCATAGCGAAGGCATTGCCAAGCAAGGTGGAAGTATTTGAAAAAGGGGGAGTTAGTATAGCAGATGTACTGTGTTAGAATATTTTTAACACTATGTTCAAACAGAGGCTGAAATCTTATAAATGGGGCTGAAAGTCAGGCATTTTGGCTTAACTTTATGGAATTAATGAACTGAGCATTAGGTTCATGATACAGGTTGTACGTCTCTAGTCCGGCATTCTGTGGTCCGGAACGATTTTAGTTTGCCCAATAGGTAGATAGGCAGCTATTTTATTTTATTTTATTTTTTTTATTTTATTTTTTATCTGAATTATTATTATTATTACAGGAGTATTACATTTTTGCCCCTCAGGCTCCAATGTGGGTCAGTGACCTGTGCCCGGGTGGGCTAATCCCCGTAAAAAAAAAAAAACTACAAAGCCGCAGGAAATTAAGGTTTGTTTACATCCGGCAGTTCGGCTCTCTCTCTCTCTCTCTCTGTTTGTCTATACAGTCAGTTCTGCTATAAAGCGATAGTTGTGTTCTTGTAAAACATCGTGTTATAGAAATTCTCGTAATAGAAATAACGGGGCTTATGGAGAAAATAGGGTTAGGTGCAGATTACTACTCGAAATCGAAAAAATTTAGTAGTCAGCCTAATACAAAGGATAGCACAGTCTAAAGAAATGTTACATTCATATCTAATAATGAAATCATACGGTAAATGTAACACTTTACCTTGAAAAAATATGAATATAACTTGATGGGGGAGAAGGGTGATTTTGAGGTTGATAACATCGAGCTTCTCTTCAAGGGTTATAGCCTTTCTTTTACGATCATCACCGGGAATGCGATCACCAGAACGCTTCTTGGAGATATTCTTCTTTACCATATTCACAGTTAATACCACAAAATTGGAGAAATAGTAAGCAAAAATCTCGTTACAGCAAACAAGCGTTCGCGTTATACAAATATCGTTCCTCTATTCATAAATCGCGTTAGAGCCAATTCGCGTTGTGAAAGCACGCGTTATAGCAGAACTTACTGTACAGAGTACAAAATTTAACCCTTCAATATATATGAACAGTAAATAAGTGTTACTTTCATATTCTTATGTAGAGTAATGACGATATGTTTTTCACATGTGCGCACTTACATATGCGCAGTCTCACTTTTTTTCTTTAACATAAATGGTTTGCTACTTTTATTGTTCCATTTATTAACATTAAATAACATTACTTAAAACAATCATATTAATAATTTACATTAATTTTACTACAGCTACAACCAGGGTCTTATTTTCTTGTTTTATATGTAGAACCAATCAGTCACTGGTTTTGTAATCTACGAAAACAATGCTGTCTCGTTTCCTCATGTGTTTTAATATTCTACGTATTATTAATGAATTGTATTGCTCATTTTGCACACATAAACATTAATTCAATAAAAAAGACATTCAGTAATAAACAATAATGAATCTTTTGTACATAAGAGAAATGACGTTGTTTACACGATTTTGCACGCCTAAACGTTGGTGGACCGCTCAAACCCGCCGTTTTTCGAGTTTCCGCCGTCAAAATTTTAAATTATGTAGTGTTTTTTTTTGTGTGTCCAAGTAAAAAACGTTGAATTAAAAACTCTCGAAATTTGAGAAGCTAATGTACGACATTTAACCCTGTCTTCAAAGAGACCACGAAGCAGTGAAAGTGGTGCTAACATAAGCGCAAGTCACTATCTGTCCAGGAAAAGGGTGAATTTCCATGGTCCAGCACCGGTCAGGTCCCGAGGTTGCCGGACTAGAGAGGTACAACCTGTATATGAGTTTATTGTAGACTTGTGCTTCTCTTCCCATATGATCAGGCTGCTTATTTATCCATCCCATTAGGTTAATAAACAGATAAAATTAGTTGAGGATTAAAGTGAAAAGATGAATTCATATTTTGATTAAAACAATGGAAGGCTGGCAGACATGGATTGGCCAGTAAAAGTTAATACTAATACTATAAATAAAAGTAAAATGTCATCCTTTGGGCACTACTAAGTAGTAAATGCCATTCAGGAGACACTTGCTGTTGAAGGCTAGAATGCAAATTTAATGATAAAAACCAGTCAAATGACTTTTGACCATATGACTGTAACTATTTTATAATGATAAACGTACCTGTACTTGGTTGATAATAAAGCTTTGCTACTTGAGGTATGCACATTGAAAGAATTGACTGAGTGGGGATTATGTGCGAGAAACATTGTCAATAGAAAGGAAGGTTTTAATAGGTAATGTTGAGTTAGGTTAGGTTTAATTATTAGATTAGGCTTTGGTAGGGTATGGGAAGTACTGTACAGAGTTAGGTGTTACGTACATGATGGAAGAATGTGCACCGAGGATTTTTATGAAATCATGTTGAGATTTTGGAATAAAGAAGAGAGCTTGTAAGAGACACCTGCTATGTTGTGGAATCATGAAGGATGTTAATAGGTATTTTTCTTATACTGTAATGCATACTTAAGAAATCTCTTATTTCAG